CCTCCTTCCTCACTGATAGTTTTCATGATCTTCCCAACTCTGCTAAGAAACAGAAAGGATAGATAAGTAATCTATTCTCAACTTGACTCAGACCACCACCTGAGAAAGCAGTTTCAATTACTGAGTTTTTTCAATGCCTGAGAATGTGGATCAAGTTATGTCTCCTGCCAGGTTCAGCCAATCTGAGTTCAGAACATATGGGTTACTTTTATATTTAAAATAAGCTTTAAGTTAAGGGGCGCCTGGGTGGCTCAGTTGGTTGAGCGACTGCCTTCGGCTCAGGTCATGATCCTGGAGTCCTGGGATCGAGTCCTGCATCGGGCTCCCTGCTTGGCGGGGAGTCTGCTTCTCCCTCTGACCCTCTTCCCTCTCGTGCTATCTCTCATTCTCTCTCTCTCAAATAAATAAATAAAAATCTTTAAAATAAAATAAAATAAGCTTTAAGTTAAAAATAGAACTACCCTCCTGCCCAGCAATTGCACTACTAGGTATTTATCCAAAAGATACAAACATAGTGATTCGAAGGGGCTCCTGCACCTCAATGTTTAATAACAGCAATGTCCACAATAGCCAAAATATGGAGAGCCCAGATGACCATGGACAGATGAATGGATAAAGAAGATGTGATGTGATGTGTGTGTGTGTGTGTGTGTGTGTGCGCACACAATGGAATTATTACTCAGCCATCAAAAAGAATGGACTCTTGCCACTTGCAACAATGTGGATGGAACTAGAGAGTATTATGCTAAGTGAAATAAGTCAATCAGAGAAAGACAAATATCATATGATTTCACCTATATGTGGAATTTAAGAAACAAAACACATGAACATAGGGGAAGGGAAGGAAAAATAAAATAAGACGAAAACAGAGAGGCAAACCATAAGACTCTTAACTATAAGAAACAAACTGAGGGTTGCTGGAGGGGAGGTGGGTAGGGGGATGGGATAATTGGGTGATGGGCATTAAGGAGGGCACTGAAGTAATGAGCAATGAGTGTTGTACACAACTGATAAGTCACTAAATTCTACCCCTGAAACTAATAATACAGTATATGTTAAATTGAATTAAAATAAAAAATTTTTAAAAATTATAAAATAAGTTTTAAAAGATTATCAGCCCAACTAATGCAACCAATGACAGGTGGAAAGTCATCCTAGGGTTAAAGCCTCATGTTGTGTGATTGAGACACTTGAGGACAGGAAAACACCAATTCTTATTAGACATTGGATTACTCCAGTACCAGTGACCACAGTTTATCCATTGGTACATTCTTCTACAAGTCACCTCATACAATTAGAATTACAGTAGTCCTACCTAACATAGCTCCTACATAGCTCCTACCAGTGACAATGCAGTCACCATGCTTGCTCCCAGGACTCCAACCAGACTTCCTTCTTATGTGCAAATTTCTTTTTAACATGTATCTTTTTTAACATGTAAAAAACATGTTTCTTTTTTTTAACATGTAAAAGTTTCTGCTTATGTTCACATTAGAATGTACCTTGGTAGAATGAACTTCTCAGCTGAGTATCTGATGATAAAAACTTGTATGTCTATAGAGTAATTGTTTTAATTGTAAATAGACCAAAAGGAAGAAAAATTTGTGGATTTTTCCAAAAACTTTATATTGTTTCCATATGATTAAGATTCATGAATATAACTAATATGTGAAATGTTTGCATGAATCTAAAAGTACACTTCTCCTGGGTTGCTGACTTCAATATTTAGTACTGGTTTAAGTATATAAGGACTCTTTAGACTTCTCACCAAGGAAGAATCTTCCATGACCATTAAAATGGTCATGTCCGAGGGCAGTGTCTTCTGTTCTCATTCAAACCTGAAGTCACAAAGGGAAAACATACATACTTAGATCAATTTTCTCTACTTCTATCCAATATTATTTTTCAGATTCTTAGATCCACACTGGTAGTAACCATCTGTTGAAACTACTTTAACATCCTATGAAACTTAATCAGCAGATGTATACATTCTCCTTGCCTTACCTACCTTAGATTTCATAGCAAGAGACTTGAACTAATGTGCCCACGTATCAGTTGGGCAACAAAGACAAATGGCCCAACTATGGGATATAAATGAAGGCAACCTTGCCTTTTTAATTCATTCATTTAGAATTCAGAGCTATAGGAGTCTACTATCTGCTCTTGCCTATGCTCTGTTGGGGTTTTATCACCTAAGTCACTGTTCCACTGGAGGCAAATCAGATGTCTGTGCTGTTTTAATCTGTTAAAATCATAAATTTACTTTGTTAAATTTATTAAACATACTTATTAAATGTATTCATTTTTGTTGTAAAATAATGTTTTTAAGCAGAAATATCTTAAACACATTCTTGGGCTTTCAACTTTCAGTTCAATATAAGATGACTAAGGCCAAACACCTAATTATTACAAGGTCCACAGGTAAAATGAACTGGTTATAATTTATATCTTTAAGTGAGCAGCTGTCCATAACATAGCATACGTATCTTTTTAAAGTAATCTCTACACCCATTGTGGGGCTCGAACTTACGACCTTGAGGTCAAGGGTGGCATGCTCTTCCAACTGAGCCAGCCAGGCGCTCCTACACATAATTTCTTTAACAAACATTCTTGGTCTCAAATCTCTAAGTCAAACATCCTAGGAACTTCTAAGATAATTTAGGAAAGCTGTGCCAGTTATTAGTTTATTGTCTCTGCTTCAAACCCACTCTTCTATAGATGCTTTTAGATGATGGGGTTGCAACTCTGCGAACCACATCTCTATTTTGCCAGCTATTTCCCTATTAGGTTCTGGCATCAAGAAATGTTGAGAGGGAAGCTGCAGTGTTGAAGAATCGTGATTAGTGTGCATCAACTTGGCTGGGTGACAGGGTGCCCAGATACTTGGTCAAATATTCTGAGTGTTTCTGTGAGGGTGTTTTTGGATAAAATTAACATGTAAATTAATGGGCTTTGAGTAAAGAAAATACTCTCCATTATGTGAGTGGGCCTCATCAAATCAGTTGAAGGCCTACATAGAACAAAAAGACTGGCCTCCCCTTGGCAAGAAAGAATTCTCCAGCTGCCTTTGGACTTCATCTGCAACACTGGCTCTTCTGGGTTCTACAACAATCAGCCTTCAGCCCAGAACAGGCATATAAGCTCTCCTGGGTCTCCAGTCTGTGGTCCGTTCTGCAGATTTTTGACTTGCCAGCCTCTGGAATCATAAAACACAATTCCATATATCTTTCTATATGTATACACACAACCTATTGGTTCTGTTCCTCTGGAGAACCCTAATACAAGGAGGAAGAGGGTTTTGCTGGTATGTGGGCACTGCTTCCTGTTCCCAATGCTTCTTCACTCCAGCAGCGGCTGTTCCCTTTGGTAGCAGCAATTGGGTCCAACTTGCAGTTCTGTCACCATAGGGCCCTCCTTCCAATTCAGACCAACAGTGCTCTCAGCAGTGCTCTCCTCCATGTAGGTCTGAGTTAGCTCTACAGGTGCTCTCTTCCAACGTCCTACCTTTTAACAATTCTTTTGTTCCTGCTTTGTAGCTTGCTCTGTGGAGGTGGGATCAGTACTGTACCACCACCCCAAACTAATTCAGATGTCAAGACAGATGATAGCACACACATCAAGAGGTCATGAAAAAGTTTATTATTCACATAATGTGGCTCTCTAGGAAGAGCAAGACAGGGACCCAAGCTAGTCAGTTTGCCCTGATTGCAAGGAGGGGCAAATAGCTCTGATTTTTATTGTAGTTACAGGTGTGGGTTTCCAGGGTAATGGAAAAAGCCAGGGTTTGCATAAATTTCACCTCAAGTGCTGAGGGAGTATCTGGGCTTTCTTATCAGCTTGCCCAGATGTGAGGCAAAAGGGGGGAGGGGGAGGGCTTAAAAGCTGTCAGTGGTCAAACATCAAAAATGGGGTCAGACTCCATTACAGTTCCCCCAGTCTTGGGATGGCACCAGGTCTCAAGTCACTGCCTCCATGATAAATTAGCACTTTCTTTTGCCTTTTTAGTTACTTAGATATATCTATTAAACAATTCTAAGTTCTTTTTCTTAAAATAATTGGTATGGTTTCTGGCTCCTGACTATAACCTGGGTAATACAAGTCTTCTTTGCTATTCTACAGGGTTAGCATTAGCTTAATAGGTATGCCAGTTGTGCATAAAAACATTTACTCATCTTCCTTCACTTACCTAGTAAAATGGAATGGCTGACTAAACATCATCCACAGGATCCCATTTCTTAAACTTTTTTTTTCCCATTTCTTAAACTTTTGAGTCTAGAGCTTCTGGCTTCACTTGCTATTTTTAGGCAAAAAGGTTAAAGAAAATAGAGCTCATAATTTCCTATAAATTCTATGTCTTGGACATCAATACAATACACAGAGAATATCCTCAATCTTTTTAAGAGGATGTATGGTATTCCATCAAAGATGCACCAGAACTGTTCAACCATTCCTTTACTAATAGCCATTTGTGTTGTTACTCATTTTTGTAGGTGAGGAAACTAAAGCCTTGAGAGATTAAATGGCTCACTCTAAGTAACAGTATATAAATGGCAGAACCAGGATTTCTATAAAATTGTAAGATGCCACAGCCCATGCTTAAAAACATTTTATTTTTAAGTATTTTAAGCAAACAGAAAAAAAAAACAAAAACACACTATCCCATTAAGCAACATGTGACCCATCTACATCAATTTTTAAAATGAAGTAAAACACAACTACAGCTTCCATCTACCCCCCCATTCCATCAGCAGGCTCTGCCATGAAAAGGTAGAACACAACTTTCACACAACATTCCAATACATGATTTTGTACTCTTCATCATATAATTTGAATCCACAGGAATATATTATTGTGCAAAACAGTAACAACATTGTTTACTATATGCCAACAATGCTTGCATGCCAGCCACTAATCAAAACACTTTATTACATGCATTATTTCATTTACCATTCCCCCACCCCCAATTATCTTGTGAGGTCAGCAACTACTATTCCATTTCATTAAAAAAGTGAAACACAAATTTAAGTTTAAATAATGTGCCTACAGATACACAGTATATTTAATTTTACATAAATGGCATATTGTACATAACTTCTGCAACTTTCTCAGCATTTCTGATTTATCTATGTTGAAAGATGAAACTCTAGCTCTTTCGTATTCACTTCCGAAAGTACCAAAACAACCCTCCCCCCTTTTTTTTTCTGTTGATGGACATTTGGGCTTTTCCCAGTCTTGCTACCTACACAATACTGCAATGAACAGTTTTATACAAATGTTCCTCCCTACATGAAGTTCTTCTAGGGTTTATCCAGGAGCAGAATGGCTGGTGGTATGCACAGTACAAGATTTTGCAGACTGCATGGCATAGGACCCATTACAAAATTTCCACTCCCACCACATTGAATTCCCACTGTTCTACACATGTACCCATGCTAGGGCTTGTAAAACTTGTCATCTTGAGGAGTGTGAGAAGTCCCTATTAACCTGTATTTCCTGTGCTTTCTTCTCCATACATGTCTCTGTGTGGGCTGATGCTCTATCAGCAAGGCAGGGGTCAACCATCTGAACTGATTCAAAGACTTTCCAATACCTACTCCTCTCTGGGAGTCCCAGCCCTCTGGCTCTCCTCAGCTCCAACTTCGGTTCTTCCTAGGCAGCAAAAGAAAGCAAGGCAGGGTTCAAAGAAGCCTACATATTCTCCAGGCCAGAATGGGGTATGACAGGAGAACTGGTGGCTGAGGCAGTCAGAAATTTTCAACTGGAGCCACATGGCTTGGAACCACCTAAGCTGGTGCTAACTAGTGCGCTTGTGGGTAACCTCCAGTCAACACTGTACTCAGGACCCCTTCAAAACACTCCAATCCTGACTTAGCTGAACTAAATTCAATTCCATATTCCTTAATAGAGGTAATCTTGTACAAAATCTCTGTATGGCAAACAGATAAATAAGCACCCAACCCAGCCTCCAGAGTGCCCTATCTGCTGCAGTAGCAGGCCTAATTCTTGGAAACCTGGACAACACCCAGCAGAGTAAGACACAGGCTCCAAGAGAGGTGGGGCCAGGGGAGAGGTCTTAAAGACAGACAAGGGTTAGGGATGGCAAGGGTTAATCTTGATGGATGAGGACCTGAGCCAGCAAAGATATGGTCTACACTCCTGGTGAAGGGAGACAGCACAAGTCAGGCCAGTCCAGGGGTGTTCAGGGGCAGACAGTGAAAGTTAAATCCAACAATGACTGGTACGATGATTGCACCAAAATGTTTAGTAGTAGTTAGCTGCAAGTAGTGAGACTTCTCCTTTTAGCTAAGCTGTATTTACTAATATTTCTATAATAATATATTACTCATATAATTAAAATTATTTAAAAATTCAGGTTACTGAACAGACCCCATCAGTACAATCCCAAAATATTAAAGGCTTACCTCAGTATAGAGGGATTTCTGTTGATTTTTACTTCTTTGTACACTTGAAAATTTGGTTTGAATGTTTAAAAATAAGTACATCTCACTTTATAAAAATGGCAGTACAAAACCCCTATTGGGGCAGGAACTCTGTGAGGTGACAGTGGCACAAGGAGTTGGGGGGGATGTGAAAATATTAACAGAAAAGAGGTATTTCCTTGGTTGTAGCACCAGATTTGAAGCCAAAGCTGACTTGGAGCTGCAGCTCTGTGAGGGCTCTGGTCTTAGAGATCAGCTACCTAACCCAGAGCCTTTGCAAACCAAGCCCTCTTTCTCCAATCCTAGGAATCAGGGAGCTTAATTACTCTAACTTTACATGCCAGAAAATAGATGCAGATGTTCAGCGACTTGTCCAAGATCATCCTGCCAAGAAAAGGCACACTGAGCCTGGAACCCAGATCTGGTAACTCCAAGGCCCTCCCCATGACCCTGTGGCCTCAGCACATGGGACTGTGATCCCTGCCCAGCCACTTCTAGAACTAGTTTTTGGTACTATACCACTGATGGGACACCTGATTCCATGCCATGGGCAGCTGCTGCTGTAGGAAAAGGATGCAAAGCCAGGATTACCAAACCCTCCTGAGTACAAAGCTGAATAGGGGCCAGAACACGAACATATGTCTGCCCCTTCTCCCCAACCTCTGACTACTCCATGTGACATCACCACAAAGTATCAAAGTCTTCATTTTCACTTGCCCACATCAATCCAGAAAGGATAAGATTACTTGTACTCTATTGAGAGGACATTTTCCAGGTCGGTTTCTTCTCTTGTATTACAAGAAATGGTCTGCCCCACTGGTGTGCCCCAACTCAGAGCAGTAAAATGTAGTCTGAGATGGTCCTCTACTATCAAGTGAGATATTTTATTCTTATATTCATAATGTGAGCTCTTCAATCATCAGAAGCAATGACTACTTACACAAATTTTAGAAAAGTCACTCCTTTATCCTTATGCCACTGAGCTAATTCTTTTTGTTTCAAGTCAAGCTAGCAAGCGAGATGGAGGTGCCTCCCCCACCAGGCCACCTTTTCTCCAGAGGGCATCAGTCATGGGAACTGGTACCTTTGGGTTGAACCCAATGCCAGCACCGGATCCAACATGCGAAGAAAGCTACACGAAAGGTTAGAGGGGCCCCATAGTGTGCACAAGTTAAGAGATGCAAGCAAGCACAATAATTAAATGTTTACAACTGTGGAGAGCTAGAGGTCTTATAAAAAATTCAGGCCCTTTGAGTGGAGAGGAGAGAGTTCCATTACTGGAAACTGAGAGCAGAGATAACTGCATAAAAATCTTTCAGCTATATAATTTCAGAGTCCCTGGGTCTGTGGTTAACCTTGTAAATGTAACTCAGATTCAGTAACATCACTCCTCAACTCAAAACTGTCCAAAAGCTCCCTACCTCCCTTTGAGGAAGCTCTAGCCCCAGTGGGGACCCATGATGATACATGGCGTGGCCCGCTACCTCTGGGGCCCTCTCTTCTGCTGGCTCACTCCACTCTAGCCCAGGGACTTCACTGACATTCTCCAAGGACAGGAGACAAGATTCCACCTCCTGTGCCTGGATCTAGAGACCCACAGGGTTCATGCCCTAACCTCCTTCAGGTCTTTGCTCAAGTTTCACCTTCTCAGTTGAAGTCCTCCCTAACCAGCCTACTTAAAATCATGACCCACCTCCTAATCCAGCACTGCTTCTCACTTTTCTCTGATTCATTCTGTCCACAACACATATCACCATCTGAAGTACTATATAACTCATTTGTTTATTGTCTGTAAAGATCCAAGATGGCAGATCTTTTGTCTATTCTGGTCACTGCTGGGTCTCTAGCATACACAACAGTGTCTGGCATATGGGAGGTGCTCAGCACATTTCTGTTGAACAGACGGCCTGCTGTTGCCATGCAGACTGTGGGGTGGAGACAGCGACAGGGCACTGGAAGAGCCCCATTCTCCAGGTGATTGAGTCCAAACCTGCTCTCCTCCATGTGCTGCTGAGACAACTCTATGCCCACAGCAGATGTCCAAGCGAGATATGAAGGCCAAAGCTGCAGCCAGAACTCCCAGGAGGCATCTGGGGAAGACTAGGAGTTCTTGCTGCTACTGCTGCTGCTTATAAGGTCAAACAGAATATGCACTACCACAGGATTCAACTGGTCCCTTCCCAGCAGCCACAGCCCATTACATCACAGACATTTTGTCAAACTACAAAGGGCAATAGTATCTGCTTTTTGACTTATTATCTGGGTGGAGGCTCCAGACCATTGTGCAAAGGCCACTTCAGGGGCCCAAGCCTCCAGAAGGGCCCCAAAGAACAGGTTGCTGTTCTTCCCCAGCATCACACTCCCCAGCAGGTAAGAAAGGGGATGCCCTGAGGTTTTGAATCCTCAGGATTCTCTGCCACCAGATTCGAAAATAGAAAGGGCTAGACCCTTTGTGAAGCTTTTCCCCATATTGCCTATAATTAAGGGTTCTCTAGCAGGGCTGCTAGGAACCCCTCTCCCCCCACTCTCAGACCCCAAGCTAATCTCTAGTATGGTTTTTCATATGCCGAGCCAAATTTGAAGACCACCTGAAGGTCTTCCCACACTCTCTGCATTTGAAGGGCCTCTCTCGAGTATGAAATCTCTTGTGGCTAATGAGCTGTGAGCTTTTGTTAAAAGTTTTCCCACAGGTGCTACACTTGTGGCACTTTTTCCCAATGGGTATGTTCTGGAGTCCAGTGATCCTGGAGCTCTGATCACAAGCTTCCTCAGAATCTTCAAGGGGCTTCTCCCCACTTGGTTTTAATTCCTGTAAACTCACCGCTGTGTCCTGGCAGGAAGACAACCCAGCCAGGCTGCATTCAGACTGTGCCACTCTGGTGTGTTTTCTCTGATGAATGCAGAGGGTATGTCTTCCAATGAAATCTTTCCCACACCACTGACATTTAAAAGGTCTCTCTTTAGTGTGGATTCTCTGATGATTAACAAGGCGATGTTTTCTATCATAAGATTTCCCACACAGATTACACTTATAGCGCTTCTCTCCACTGTGTATTCCCTTATGATCTAAAAGACTTCTTTTACGTGTAAAAGTTTTCCCACATTCTTGGCACCAAAACGGTTTCTCACCAGTGAGGATTTGTGGCTGCAGATTTGGCGTGTTTCCACTTTCACGGTACTCGTACTGTTTTTCTAAAGAGTGAATCCTCTGATGACGGGAGAGGTTAGAACTCCATCTGAAAGCTTTCCCACATTCTCTACACTTATAAGGCTTCTCTCTGGTATGAATTCTCTGATGGATGAGGAGGAATGAGTGATTACGGAAGGCTTTGCCACACTGGCTACATTTGTAGGCTTCCTCTGTGGTGTGACTGCTCTGAGGAACTTGTAGAACTCTGTCCTGACTAAACGATGGCCCATCCTCAGGTTTTCTCTGAATGGCATGCTGCTTCTTATGAGCAATAAAGGCTGACCGATGGGTAAACTCTTTTTTGCATTCACTACATCTGTATGGTTTCTCACCTGTGTGAATTCTCTGATGATCAATGAGGGATTTCTTTCGAGTAAAAGTTTTCCCACACTGCTGACAAGGAAAAGCTTTCTCTGTAGCCAGGGCATTCTGGGACTGACTGCAGCTGGAGGTCTGTCTGAAGTCTTCTCTACATGTGTCTTGATCATAGAACTTTTCTTCCTGGTGCATTCTCATATGACGAGTAAAGTTTGATCTCCACCTAAAGGTTTTCCTACATTTGGTACATTTATAAGGTTTCTCCTGAGTGTGGACCCTTTGATGTTCAACAACATATGATTTACAGTGGAAGGATTTCCTACACTGGCTGCAGTCAAAGGGTTTCTCCCCACTTTGGTCTCTCAAATGATGATCAAATCCTGAGCCATAGGTGAGAGCTTCCTCATACTGATTAGACTCAAGAAATTTCTGCTTAGCATGGGTTTCTTGGTGTAAACGGTAGGCAGACATACGTCGGAAAGCCTTGTCACATAAACTACACTTATAAGGTTTCACTCCAGTGTGAATCTTTTCGTGTCGTACACAGTTTGAGCTCCACCTGAAGGCTTTCCCACACACCCTGCATTTAAATGGTTTCTCTTGAGTGTGAAGTCTCTGATGACATACAAGATGAGAGCTATGACTGAAGGTCCTCCCACAGTCACTGCACTTATATGATGTCCCCACCATGTGAAGATCCTGCCCATGTTGGTGATGTGAGCTAAGGCTGAAGTCTTTCCCACGTGCATCCTTTGCATTTGCTTTTAGTCCAGCATGAATTCTCTGGTGTAAGCTAAATCCGCCAACTATGCGCCTGAGCCCTTTCCCATATTCCTTGTAGTCATAGTGGTATGCACTCCCTCGGAAGTGTCGGCTACAGCCATGTTTAAGGGATCGCTTTCTTCTGGGAACTCTCAAATATGTGGCATGTTTTAAATTACGACTAGTACTTCTTCCTGATTCTTCAGATTCTTTTTCTGTCCTATGACTGAAATTGGTCTCTTCTTTCTTAACTCTTACTTGTATGGGACTTCCACATTGTTCCTTTAGCCTGCTCTTCTGCTCAAAAGATTCTCTGAGCCCCATTCCCTCAGAAACAATCATCCAACATTCTGATGGCACAGCTAAGGTTTCTGCTTCTTCCAAAGGTTCATGTTTTAAGGCGAACTTGTTTGTTTTAATCTGGAGCTCACCTCCTGACACAAAATAAAACACAAGACAATGTACTCTATTCCATACTTGGAACTGCAGAAAGCACCAAAGGACAGGAAAAAAAAAAAAAAGCCAAGCTCTTGGGTGGTGAAGCTTTTGCTTGACTGCCAATACCTTTACCAAATAGTCTGGGAGGGCAAAACATGGAACAGTGTCCCAGATGACAGGGAAGGGAGGAGGGGAAGTAAGGTGGGCACAGCAGCTAAACATATGCAGAAATCACATCCAGTTAAAAAGTGAATGTTAAACAGTAAGACAGGGGACAGAAATCATGGTAAGAGGATAAGAAGGCTTCCAAGAGCCCACAGGAGGGGCTCCATGGAGGACTAGCTGAAGGAACTGGAAGTCAAACCTATCATAGGGGCAAAGAAGAGGAGCAGGAGTGGGATTAGGGTTCTTCAAAGAGCATGAAGGGTGGGCATGGGCCAGGGGCCAATAAGAGTGCAGCAGAAGGATGAGGAAGAGCATCACTGAATGGAAAAGAGTGCAACAGGGAAGCCCTCCAGTGGGCAAGAACAGTTACTGAAAAGGTTTCTGGGGAAGGGGTAGGGCCAGAAACAAATGTCTAATAGGCCAGTCTAGAGAGGAGAAACAGGGGAGGCCCAGCACTCCTTAGCAACACTGTTAAGGATCTTCCTTCTAGCAAACAACAAAGTATGTTCCCTGTGACTTACTTGGTGTAAAAGACCTTAAGAAAGAGAAGAGGAGATGTGAGAGGAGTAAGATCCAGAGGTTCTCTGAAACTCACCTGCAGGGGCAACACCTGGCTTCCCCTTAGGCTGAGCTCCCTGGACATTCAGGCCCCATGGCTCCCTTGCTTCCAACCAGGAAATCAGAACAGGTTTGGTGAATGGTCCCACTGCAGAAGAGAAGGGGATGGGATGAGATGGAAAGGTGGATAATCATATAGAACTATTCTCCAGGACCCTCTCAGGCCTGAGGTCCTGGCAAGGACAAGGGAAAGGCGAGGGAGGCTGGTGGAGGAAGCGAGGACAGGAGGCCCAGACAGCCATTTCCAACAGCTCTGAGCAGAGAGAAAAGAGGTTGAAAAAAGTCACAGCCAAAAGGATCACTAGGATTCTCTGGAGGTGGGAGCCACATGACAACTCAATCAGTTAAATCAACCAACACCATTTGGACGTCTAACTAGGAACCTGACACATATGACTTTCTTTTTTTGTTTTTAAAGATTTTATTTACTTATTTGACAGAGAGAGACACAGCGAGAGAGGGAACACAAGCAGGCTTCCCGCCGAGCAGGGAGCCCACATATGACTTTTAATCATTGTAATAATCCAGCAAATAGGCATCATTATCACCACATTTCAAAAAAGAAAACTAGGTGATAGAGCCAGGGTCAAAGCCCAGGTCAGGTCCCTGTCTAGACATCATAATAAAGAGTAAGAAGGCAGAAGTAAGAGTGGGTAGAAGCACGGGGGTATCAATGCCTTACCTAGAGAAACCACGTTCCCGTAATTCTCCAGCATCACATCTCTGTACAAGTTCCTCTGAGCAGGGTCCAGCCATCCCCACTCATCCTGAGAGAATGTCACTTCCACATCCTTGAAAGTCACAGCCTCCTGAAAAACACAGTCCTATGTCTGAGAGTCAGTCTACAGCTCCTAGCTTTTCAGAGAGGGCAGGGGAAGGGGACAGGCCAGTCTGAGTGAGCATAGGATTGATCTGGTAAGGGTGAAAGAGAGAGCATCACCCAGCAGAAGAACTCTGAGCTCAAGGGGTCTCCAGGACCTGGGTCTCTGGATATGAGGTCACTGGACACAGAGACTCAAGATGAGGGGGAGCCTCAGTGACTCCATTAGGCAGCAATGCTGGGATGTCATGAAGGACCAAAGGTCTTATGGCTCACCCGAGGCTGGGATGTCAATGGGTCTCCTGGACACACCTCTCTCTGGGAAAGGGCAGGCACCTGGGCAACAGGAGGCTCTGAAGGAGAAGAAAGAGCCATGAGAGAAGGTAGCCCAGCTCTTGGCACCCCACTGAGGAGGCCCACTCTTCCCCCACATAGAGGACTCCTGGGCCTACAAGCAGGTATGGACTATCGTTAAACACCCATTTCACATTTCCCCAGTGTCCGCTGAGGGCTGGGGAGTGAGGAGTGCAATGTGAGGAGGAGCTAGGTAGACATGGGTTACAGAAGGGTAGAAAGGACACAGGGCTAAGCACCAAGACTGAAAAGGATTCTCGTAAGAGGACAGATGGTGAAATAACAACACTACTTTGGGATGTGTGGCATACAGCTTAGAGCTAGATGGCGAGTACCGGATTGCCCAGCCAGGAGGTCACACACTCCTCTTTCATAGGGAGGCTCCAGGGGGTCCCCAAGAGTAGAGTCGCTCCTGAGAGGTGAAGCAGGGGGCCATATCTGTGAGGCTCGCAGGGCTCCTGTACCCATCCAACGTACATCTGGGCTCTGAGCAAGGGCTGGGTCCTGGCGAGAAGAAAATGTTGTGAGAGGATCCCCATAGGAATCAGAAAGCAAACTCAGAGAAGAGGCCACATGGCCAATCTTTAAGGGCAGGTTATCCAGGGAAGGGCAAGCCAGGCCCTTCATTACCTACAGGCAGAGGGGAGAGGAGGAGGAGAAAGCCCAGGGAGGACCCACTCATCCCTCAGCCTCCCTGGGCTCTAGTGTGGGCCATGAGGGAGAGAGGTGGAGCCAGATTCCAGCTACAACATAGGAAAGCACCCAGCAAGGCACTGCTGTCAGGTTTCAGGTACCACAGTGACACCTCCCCACTAGCCCCTCAGGCCTCACCCTGGTCTGGAACTTAGAAATCAGAGAGAAATTTGTCCCTGAGTTAAAATGATAATGGCTCACCGCAGAGATGCAGACAGATAACATCTACCAAGTACCAGGCACCACTCTAGGCACTACCAAGCATAGTGACCTCAAAGAAGCAGGACAGCTTCCATATGTAAATCTGACTGAGATGGTAACACTGCCAGAGAGGCAATGCTACTTGTGAGGGTCAGTCATGGAACCAAAAAGAAAGTCTCAGGTACAAAAAAATGGCAGTGCCCATCCAAGCAGAGACTAGAAAGAGCCAGTCTTTGCCCTGGGACTTCAAATGGTTCCAGTCTCTGAGGCAAGGCTATCCCTGACATGGAAATGAATACCAATGAACTTTTAAGTTTTTTCTGGTCCTGTGGCCAAGACATTGACCACACTGATTTGGATGAACCTTAGCCTGAGGCCATGAAACGTGATACCAAGCTAAAAGACTAAAAGATGATGAACCTGTTCCTCCCAAACCCTACCAAAAAGAGAATAAAGAAACAATACAAAGATGGAAGCAGACAGTCCAATAAGTTTAAGAACAAAATTTCTCAGGGCCTAGATGCTCAATGCTGATGAACCACAGGGTGATTATGTAATTTTATGTACATCTTGAGCCATTCTGTTCATTTTTCAGAATTTGGGAGGTGTTCTCCCAGTCCATTTTCTTTTCTAATTTTTTTAAAAGAATTTATTATTTGTCAGAGAGAGAGAGAGCACAAGCAGAGGGGAGTGGAAGGCAGAGGCAGAGGGAAAAGTAGGCTCCCTGTTGAGCAAGGAGCCCGATATGGGACTTGATCCCACCACTCTGGGATCGTGGCCTGAGCCAGGCAGACGCTTAACCTACTGAGCCACCCAGGCATCCCTGTTTTCTAATTTCTAACTAGCTTTCAACCAGGTAGGCGCTGTATGCCCAGTTGGCAATGTTTTCAGGGATTTTCAAACCTTACATCTAGCTCTAAATGCGTTAAATGTAAGCAAGCCACAATTTTGTACCTACTATGTACCTTATTTGCTTTAATCAATGATTTTTCGATCCTTTTAAATATCTTGGTGTTTTAGTAAAAATGATAAATGCTCTTAGATTTTTTAAAATAGCAACCAATGTTAAGCAAAAAGGTTTTCTTTTTTAATAGCCATATCTTGCATTGATATATTACCATTTACTGCTGGTAGATGTTCAGTCAGATGTGTTACTTGATTGACTTAATTTGATATTATATTTGGGAGAAAAGTATGTCAGATATGTTCCAGAAATCTTAAAGGTAACTTTCATTTATGCATGAATCATATATGTAGAATTACATATATTTTTATTGAAAAAAATTTTAAAGAAGCCTACAAAAATGATAAACGCTCTTAAAAACAAAAAAACAAAAAAAACGAACCTCCAAAGCTATAAGAAGCATTGAGAAACTCACCTGTGTGGGGCAGAAGGGGCAGGCAGAGCTCACTTTGACTGACTGGCTGCTCTACCATCAGCACTGGGGCAGTCAGCTGTTTCCTGGTGCTAAGGCTGGGGCTGGGCACATGGTGAGCATTCAAATATACACTGAATAAATTCTCATTGTTAGATCAGTTCTGCATATTCTTTTCAATAAACTGAGTTTCTGAAAGAACGTGAACAATGCTCGAACAATGAGGCTGTGAAATAAAGTCTTCCAATTTCTTGGCCCTGGGCTGACCCTCAATGCTCTTCTTACCCCTGACCCCTGCACAGAACAAATCCTCAAAAGAAAGAAGGAACATGCTGCGAGTGCATTTATAGGTCTTACCATGTATTCAGAAGTCAGGAGTCCTGACTCCAACAGCAAGAGAGATATCACTCCCACTTAACAGGTATCAAGTCAAATTAGATATGTGGAGATGGACTCGCATAATGTAAGTCACTGTGTCCAAAAGCTCATTACTGTTATCTACAGATACTTGCTGACCCTCTTTCTGGAGCCGACTGTCCTCTGGCAAGGTGGGAAGGGCTGCCAGCTCAAAGGTCCTTGGCTCAGGGTCTAGTTCTCAGCTGCTTAGGTGCTGTGGGAATGAGAAGGAAAGACATTCCCTGCCTTCCTCAATGCTGAGGGTTCAGAGGCCCAACCCACACACTCTAGATGAGCTGGCTGACTGATAGGCAGAGTTCACTGGGAACTGCACACTTGCTCACACTCACCCTGCATGGTGTCCCATTGAGGTCCCTCTGCAGCTCTTCCAGCAGGGCCACAGCCTCCCCACCACTCTCAGGGTGATGCAGTTGTACCCAGGTCCGGAGCTCCCCGGGCAGGATGCTCAGGAACTGCTCCAGCACCAGCAGCTCCAGGATCTGGGCCTTGGAGAGAATGTCAGGCCTCAGCCACCAGCGGCAGAGCTCCCGGAGCCTGCTGAAAGTCTCTAGAGGCCCAGAAGATTCATGGTAACGAAGCTGCCTGAAGAGCTGGCGAAACAGTTCCTGGCCAGAACGGTTGAGTGTCTGTGGCCTGGCAGCCTGCACTGAAGTGTAGCCTTCATCCTCTTCTTCCTTCTTTACCATCTGAAGACGCCCTCGTTCCCTTGAAGCCTGGGCCTGAGCTGGATGGACAGCATACCACCTACCTGGAGGCATCACTCCTGCTCAGGGTCTACCCAGCAGAGTGTGAACCAAATCTATGTTAGCCGTGTCGCTGCTGGGACCTCAGGAGTAGTTTTTCAGCATCGTAGTGGGCAATGCCATTTGCTGGGACATCAGATGTCACTGGCAAGAGACTAAAATAACCAATATTATTGTTCAGGAGGGATGTGAGAATGATGGTGCAGTTAGATCCTGGTAGCCAGGATCATCTTTGGATGTATGAAAAGAGGACACAGGAAGATTTGCATGATCATGCCTGCCAGTATTAAGCAGACCAGGGCTAGATTGTCACATATTGTGGTAAACTAAGAAATATCCCAGAATACAGGAAAACATTTACAGGGCTTGTATGTTAAAAATTACAAATGGCTGATAAAAGAAACCAAAGATCTAAATAAATGGACAGACATACCGTATCATCTACTGGAAGACTTGACATAGTAAAGATGTCACTTCTCCATTAAAAGATCTACACATTTAATGCTACTCCTGTCAATATCTCAGCAAAGTTTTTTGTATATATAGACAAGATTATCCTAAAATTTATGTGGAAAAACAAAGGAATTACAATAGCTAAAACAACTTTTAAAAATTAGAATAAAGTATGAGGACATCATCTATTTAACTTCAAGACTTAGAGCTATAATAATCAAGACTGTGGATCCAGCAATTGCACTACTAGGTATTTACCCAAATACAAGAATACTAATTCGAAGGGATACATGCACCCCAAAGTTTATAGCAGCATTGTCCACAGTAGCCAAATTATGGAAACAACCCGAGCGTCCATCGACTGATGAACAGATATGGAAGATATGGTATACATATACACTGAAGTATTTCTCAGCCATCAAAAAAGAATGAAATCTTGCCATTTGCAACAACATAGCTGGAGCTAGAGAATATTACGTTAAGTGAAATAAGTCAGCCAGAGAAAGACAAATACCATATGATTTCACTCATATATGGAATTTAAGAAAAAACAAATGAGCAAAAAGGGGGGGGGAGAAAGAGAGAGAGAGGCCAAACCAAGAAACAGACCCTTAACTATAGAGAACAAACTGCTGGTTACCAGAAGGGAGGTGGGTGGGGGATGGGTCAAAAAAGGTGATGGGCATGAAGGAGTGCACTTGTGATGAGCACAGGGTGATGTATGGAAGTGTTGAATCACTATGTTGTACACCTGAAACTAATATAACACTGTATGTTAACAAACTAGAATTTAAATAAAAATTTAAAAAAAGAGAGAAACTGTGGTACTAGTGGAGGAAGAGATACATAAATCAGTGGAAAAGAAAAACCTGAAATAGACCAACACAAATATGTCCAACTAATTTGTAATATCGAATGTGACTTTACTAATACTGTAATATTCTAAAATATCTCAAATAAGCAATTCAAAAACATAACAAATGCTGATTAGGAATCCTTTAAATGACTGTGACCCCCACCAATGCATTAAGAACTATACTTTGGACACTACAAATCCAGCTCTCTACTAAACTCCTTATTTCCCTTTGTAATTCATCATAATGGAGGCTGTCCAAAGGTTTAAGCCACTTTCAGGAGACATCAGAGCTTAGTGTACAGAGAAGAGAACATGAACTAAGACTGACCTGGGTTCAAATCCACCTCCCCACTTATTAACTGTATGACTACGGAGGCATCACTTTACCTCTTAAAACCTCTGTGGCCTCACTGTATAAAATGGGGGTGGTTGTGGGGTTTTAGGAAAAAACTACCTGGGCACATTTTGGGCTCTCAGTGAATGTTATTCACGCGGGCCCGCCCACTCCACCCTTCCTTCCTAGGATGCATAACTTTTTTTTTTTTTAATTCCTCCCCCGCCCCCCGATAGAGTAGATCTTTGTACATAAGAAATACTTGAAAACCGAACTGGATGATGTATGAGAGGACAGAGTCCCCTAGTTTTGTATCTCGTGTATGACTGCCATGAATTCCACCAGAAAGCCGCTCTATTTTGGTCTCTGTGACATTTTAAATGCGTGACAGAAGTGAGCAAATAAAGTGAGAAGTATATATATATGAGATAATATAGATTGTATTGAAATCTCTTCAAAAAAAAAAAAATACCTAGGGAAAGAGTTTATGCTGCAGGCCACACCATAGTGTAGGAGTCTACCCTGCAGATGTGCCCACCTGATTTTTCATAAAGGTACAAAAAGCAATTCAAAGGAGGAAAGATAGTCTTTTCAACAAATACTGATGGAGGAATTGGACATTCATAGGCAAAGTAATGAAAGTCAACTTCAACCTCACATCTTATACAAAAATCAATTCAAAATGAATCCCAGACTTAAATATAAAACATAAAACTATACAACTTTTAGAGAAAAGCATAGGAGAAAATCTTTATGATCTAAGGCTAGGCAAAGTTATTAGAATTGATACCAAAGGCATGATCCATAAAAGGGAAAATTGATAAACTGGACCTCATCAAAATGTAAAACTCTGCTCTAGGAAGACCCTTGTTGACAGCATGAGAGACAAACTACAGACTAGAAGATTATATTTACAACGCACATACCTGACAAAGGACTAGTATCTGACTATATAAAGAATTCTCAAAACTCAACAGTAAAAAAGGCAAATAGTTCCATAAGAAAATGGGCAAAAGACATGAAAATAAATACAAATAAGGACAAGAAAAAATGTTTAACATGATTAGCCATCGGAGAAATTCAAATTAAAATCCCTATATAAGATAATTACTATATATCTAACAGAATGGCTAAAATAAAAAAAGTGACAACACCAAATGCTATTGAGGATACAAAGAAACCAGATCACTCATCCATTACTAGTGGGAATGTAAATTGTATAGCCACTGTGGGAAACAGTCTGGCAGTTTCTTAAAAACTTAACATACAACCTAGCAGTTGTACACCCAGACATATATCCCCCAAAAATGAAAACTTATGTCCACAGAAAAACTTGTACACAATTGTTCACTGCAGCTTATTCATAATAGCCCCAAACTGGAAACCACCCAGATGTCCTGCAATGGAAGAATAAACAAACTGAGGTACTACTATACTATGGAACACTACCTGCAATAAAAAGAAGGAGTATATGCAACAACTTGCATGCATGTCTAGAGAATGATGATGAATGAAAAGAGCCAACCTGAAAAGGTAACACAGTGTATTACTCTATTTATACACTCTTCAAATAGCAAAAGCATAGACATGGACAACAGATTAGTGGTTGCCAGGGTAGTTAAGGACTGGAGGGCAGAGCAGGAGGTATTATGATTTTACGTAATTAAGAGTCTGACTTCATTTTTGATGTTTGACTGCTGACAGCTTTCAAGCCCCACCACTCATACTCCTTCTTGCCAACATCTGGACAAAGAAATAAAGCCCAAGTGCTCCCTTAGCACCGGCAGGAAGTTCAAAGTACACAAGCCCCTGGCCTGTGTACAAAAATCCTCACCCCAACCCCATGCTAACCATATAAAAGCCAAAGCCGGTCACCTCTCCTTGCTCTCTCAAGCCATTCTTTTTTTACATTTTAAACCATTTTAATATAAAGGATAGCAATTCAAATGTTTTACATTTCTACTTAAGTTTATATTGCACTAATATTATTTTACATGGAAAAACTAGATGTATTTATTATGACATAATGTCTTAGAAACATTCTTTGACATTCACATTTATATTAATGGATATTTCAAAGTCCACTTGAATAAATTTTCTATTATATACCAAATCACCTAACAAAAATGAATATATAATGCTAATCTGCTTTGATACTGATATATTGAATTCTGCTTTGATACATTAAGAACAGATATTCATATTTATTATTACTTCCCCTGAGAAATACACTGATTTTTAGAACACATTTAAATCAGTCTTGGTACCTAGTAATAACATTTGAGCAATACCTGAAAATTCTTCATTTATTGTTGAGTGTCCACAAGACTAATTTTTTAAATTTAACATTTACTTTACTTAAAAATGAAGAGGAAAAAGTGTTAGTCCTTTTATCCAGTGGAACAGAGGTATGAGAAGAGAGATAGTAAGAATGATCTTCAAAACTGGCTTCTAAGCTATGTTTGTACAACTTAAACATTCAGTTCTCATCGTTTTGTTGCAGTATAACGAGGCCTATTATAATAATAATAACCAATGTTAGAGTCCTTGAAAATCATGATTATAATTAAAGCTTGGACTTAAAGCATAATGGCAACCTCCTGGATCCCGTCAAATTTCTACTGAACTAATTTAAGTAGTTGGAGGTTGCCATTAGCTTCATCATGCTTTAAGTCCAACCGGGTGATGGGTATTAAGGAGGGCACACGCTGTGGTGAGCACTGGGTGTTATACACAACTAATGAATCGCTGAACACTACAGCAAAAACTAATGATGCAATATATGTTGGCTAATTGAACATAATAAAAATAAATAAGTAAGTTCTACTTTCAAATAACACTTTAAAACTGTTTCAAGTACCTAACTGATTAGCCAACATCAACTTAGGAATTTTTTCTCTAAGGTATAACTCTAAGGTGCTCTAAGGTATAACTTTTGGCATCAAAAAAGCATAGTTAAGACTTTTGATTAGTTATGAATAAAAAAAATCAAGAACTAAAATACTAGTGGTTCCTGTGAGAAGGAACCCCTTCAAGTAATTCAGGGAGTGCTTAGAGGGAATTTTATTCTGCAACGCCATAGTGATTAAAAAAAAAAAAAGATCTCAAATCAACAACCTAACCTTTCACCTTAAAACACTGGAAAAAGAAGAGCCAACTAAACCTAAAGCAAGCAGAAGGAAAAAACCAGTAAAGAATACAGTGGAAATTAATGAAACAAAGATTAGAAAAACAAAAGAGAAAATCAATGAAATAAACTGGTTCACTGAAAAGATCAACAAGATTAATAAACCTCTAAATACACTGATGAAGAAAAAAGATCCAAACTATGTAAATGAGAAATGAAAAAAGAAACATACTAGTGACTTTACAGGAAATTTTTAAAAAATTATTTAAAAATAAAACAATTTTTGCCAACAAGTTACATACTTTTGATGAAAACAAGTTATAGTAGTTTTAAACACAAACTTTACTAAAATTGATTCAAGAAGAAACACAAAATCTGAACAGAC